TGATTAGTTTCCACCCGTTGCTTCTTGTCCTGCCCTCAGGCGCTTTGGAGAACAGCTTGACTCCCTCTTCTTTGGGGCAGCCCCTGAGATACTGGAACACGGCTATCCTGTCCCCCCTCGTCCTTCTCTTCATTAAACTGGACACCCCCAATTCCAGCAACCGTTCCTTATATGTTTTTGCCTCCAGTCCCCTGATCCTCTTTGTTGCTCTTCTCTGCACTCTTTCCAGAGTCTCAACATCTTTTTTATATTGTGGCAACCAAGATTTGTTTAGCCTTGGATCCTTCTTGATCTCAAGAAGAGCGCTGATCGAATTCAAAAGCGTGACTGGAAGGGCCGGGAGGCATATTAACAGCTTCAACACCCAGTCACGCTTTACTTATCAAAGGGCCAGGAAGTTGATATGATCGTAGGTTATTGTTGGTTTTTCTGGCCAGGAGCCTAAGAAAATAAATCATACTAGACGGAGATCTGAGTCTCCAATTAACTCTTCTTAACTAAAACAACTCACAAAGGCAGGCATTGTGTTCTCTTTTGATGTTTCAGGCCCCTCAATTTTAACCGACGGAGCACATGAAACGCCATCTGAGATATTTCTTTCTAGCCTGGACAAAGATTTCAGTGCACTGATGATGTCACCTAGTTGGGTCATGAAACGTCTGCAAGAAAACCACCAAGCTCAGAGAGCACCAAGGACCCCACAGTCACTCTCCTCCTCCTCCTCCTCCTCCTCCTCCTCCTCCTCCTCCTCCTCCTCCTCATTCCATAAACCCCACTCCCTGTAGCACTGATGATGTTACCTAGTTGGGTCATGAAATGTCTGCAAAAAAACCACCAAGCTCAGAGAGCACCAAGCATCCTAAAGTCCTCCTCCTCCTCCTCCTCCTCCTCCTCCTCCTCCTCTTACTACTACTACTACTACTACTACTACTACTACTACTACTACTACTACTACTACTACCAAGGACCCTGTAGTCCAACCCTGAGCTGCAAATATTCCCTTCTATCATAACATCTCTCCGTTTCAATAAGGAGGGTAAAATCTTCTGAAAAGCCCCTTTTTTCACCCGGCCTGCTTGGCAAAAGAGAACGGTGCTCTGCACGTGCTCAGCAGCTCTTACACCTCCTGGAAAATCTACACGGAACCTCAGCCTGGCAGGGATGCCTGATCCCGTCGCATGGCCAGCCTGATCCGGCTGGCAATATTTTTTTTTTTTCCTCAAAAAGTGACTCCGTTATCCGACTTCAGAAGAAAAATCTTCCATCTATCGTGACTCTGATTCCATTTATCCGAATCAGAGTCCACTGGAGCTGGGGAGCCAATAAATTTAAATAAGCAAGTATACTGTGATGGCAAATGTCCAAAATTCCTGAATGGCTTCCTGCTCTGTTCGGTCGGGAAGTGTTTAGAGCAGGGGTCCCCAACCATGGCAACTTTAAGACCTGTGGACTTCAACTCCCAGAATTCCCCAGCCAGCATAGCTGGCTGGAGAATTCTGGGAGTTGACATCCAGAAGTCTTAAATTTGCAAGGTTGGGGACCTCTGGTTTAGAGGAGCACATCTGTCAATGTCCTCAAAGTGGCTGTGATGTTTGGGTTTTGCCTTCCCAACCTCTGGAAGACACCTGTGATGAGGTGGACACTCTGGGCTTTTGCTCAAATTTTACTTATTGTACAATTTTTCTCAACCTTGGTGACCTGGAGATGGGTGGAGTTCCATTCCTAGAATTCCTCAGCCAGCCTTACAATGGGAGGAAGGAAGGAAGGAATGAGGGAGACAGAAGAAGGAAGAAAGGAAGGGAAAGAGGTGAAGGGAAAAGAGGGAAGGAATGAAGAAAGGAAGGAAGGAAAGGAAAGAGAGGAAGGAAGGAGAGGGGGGGAAGGAAGGGAAGAAAAAAGAATGAGAAGGAAGAAGGAAGGAAGAAAAAGAGAGGGAGGGAAGGAAGGAAGGAAAGAAGAAAGGAAGAGAGGAAGGGAGGGAGAGAGGAAGGAAGGAAGGAAGAAGAGAGGAAGGAAGGAAGGAAAGAGAAAGAGAGAGAGGGAGGGAAGGAAGGAAGGAAGGAAAGAAGGAAGGAAGGAAAGGAAGGAAGGAAGGAGAGAGAAAGAGGGAGGGAAAGAAGAAAGGAAGGAAGGAAGAAAAGGAAGGAAGGAGAAAGAGAGGGAGGGAGGAAGGGCGGAAGAAAAGGAAGGACGAAAAGGAAGGAAGGAAAGAGAGAGAGGGAGGAAGGAAGGAAGGAGAGAGAAAGAGAGAGAGGGAGGAGGGAGGAAAGAAGAAAGGAAGAAGAGAGGAAGGGAGGGAGAGAGGAAGGGAAGAAAGGAAGGAAGAAAAGAAAGGAAGGAAGGGAGGAGCGAGAAAGAGGGAGGGAGGGAGAAGGAAGGAAGAAAGGAAGGAAGAAAAGAAAGGAAGGGAGGAGAGAGAAAGAGGGAGGGAGGGAGAAGGAAGGAAGGAAGGAAGGAAGGAAGGAAGGAAGGAAGGAAGGAAGGATGGATGCTAGCTGGGGAAATCTGAAAGCTGAGATCCACCCAACTCATCTAGTTCAAGAACCAACTGAAGTCTGTATTAAACTAATAAGCTTTTAGAAATCAGAGGAATCACCCAATTACCGACTTCAAATACATTTGTAGCTGGGGTCTTTTCTCACTCGGCCCTTTGTTTGGGGAGAAGCAGGCAGGAGATTAAACCTCGACCCGCAAAGCCGCCCTCTCCTCCTTTTGCAAAATTTTAATTTCGACATTCTGTCCCTTCCTGATTTCCCAAACTCTGCCTTGGGCATTTTCCTAGAAGTGGCAGGGGAAAAAAACCAACCAAACAAACCAAGATTCCGGGCTGGCGATAAGGGAAGGCAGACGTGGCCCAAGACCAAGGAGGGCAGATGTGATCCCAAAGCCCAGATCGGACGAAATGACAGCCTTTGCGAGAAGTTGCCACCCTTAGCTCTCCGGGCTGTTGGGAGCCAAAAGAATAATAAGAATAATAATAAAATTTAAAGAAAAATAAATAAATAAAATTCAGCAAGCGGAGAGATGTGCAGAACGATGTTCGCTGGGCCGGAAGCCAAAGCAGGCAGGCGTTGCGCGTCTTGCCCTGTTTTGCAAACCTCAAGGAATTTAGCAATGCCTCAAATTCCTCACCGGGTTGAGCAGAGCAAGGTTGGCGATAATCATAATCATCATCATCATCAAAAAAAAAAAAAGGCAAAACCAGTTCCACCAGTAAACAGAAGCAATTCTCCTCCTTGGAAGTATGGAGGGACCACTTGCTCCCCTTCGGCTTAAGTTTTCTGCACCAGGCAGGACTCCGCCGAGGGCAAAATTAAGCACCCTGGGACAGCTGCACCAGTTGGTTTTCTGTCTGAGCCTGCTTGCCAAAACCCACCCCTTGCATAAAAGAAGCAGGGTAGGCTGAAGTAATTGGGATTGCAATTTGGTTAATTGCTTTGCCGGTGTGTGTGTGTGTGTCACTGGAAGCTCAAAATAGCCTCTCCCCCCCCCCATCGAAGGCTTAATGACAAGGAGAGATATAATCGCTGTTACGACAACCTTGCATTTATCGGTTCGTTTGATGTGGTGGTTGGGTCCTGTTGGAGGAAGCCTGTTAATGGTTCTTGGTAATTTTAGAGGCCCCTTTGCTAGACCACCCTAAGTAGGACCCCCCTACGACCGCCCCAAATTGCACGCCACTTTTTTTTGAGAGGAGAAACAAACCCCGAATGATGGTCCGAGGACCACCGTTGTTTTAAAAATAAACCCTGAGGCTAAAAGACACACAAACTCACGTTGCAAGTCCAGAATTATATATATATATATAAGCTTGCTGGAAGCCAAAAGCCCACCATCTCAGAAGATGGGTGACCCTGGAAACGGCCCCAACACCCATCAGGCTGACCTGGAAAGGATTCGACGTAGAAATGGACGAGTCAGGGTTTTTTCCCCCAGCTGGTCTGATGCAAAAAGGTAGCATCGTGGGTTGCATTTAAAAGTCAAAAATTCTGGAGCAGAGTTTCTGGGGTGGGGGCGTTCAGACATGGGGACTTCAACTCCCAGAATTCTCCAGCCAGCCTTACAATGGGAGGGAGGGAGAGGGAGGGAGGGAGGAAAGAAAGGAAGGAAGAAAAGAAGGAAGGAAAGAAGAAGGAAGGAAGGAAGGAAGGAAGGAAGGAAGGAAGGAAGGAAGGAAGGAAGGAAGGAAGGAAGGAAGGAAGGAGACTGGAATAAGGAAGGAAGGAAGGAAGGAAGGAAGGAAGGAAGGAAGGAAGGAAGGAAGGAAGGAAGGAGACTGGAATAAGGAAGGAAGGAAGGAAGGAAGGAAGGAAGGAAGGAAGGAAGGAAGGAAGGAAGGAAGGAGACTGGAATGAGGGAGGGAGGGAGGGAGGGAGAGAATGAATGAATGAATGACGGAAGGAAGGGAGACTGGAATAAGGAGGGAGGGAGGGAAGGAAGGAAGGATGGAAGGAAGGAAGGAATGAAGGAGACTGGAATAAGGAGGGAGGGAGGGAGGGAGGGAAGGAATGAGAGGGAAGGAGGGAGGGAGGGAGGGAGGGAAGGAAGGAGATTGGAATAAGGAGGGAGGGAGGAAAGGAAAGGAGGGAGGGAAGGAAGAAAGGATAAGAGAGAGGGAGAAAGGAAGGAAAGGCAGGCAGGAAAGGAAGGAAGGAAGGAAGAAAGAAGATGGAGAGATGGATGGAAGGATGGAAGGATGGGTGAATGGAAGGAAGGAAAGACGGACAAGAGGGAGGGAGGGAGGAAGACAAGAAATAAAAGGTCACCTTTCCCAAGTTTAGAACCAGCCAGGTCCCCCTCCCATGGCTCAGATATGATCTCCAAAACATACATGTGCCACCCATGACGGTGCATTCCCAGCCTCTCTCCTGGCCACTGAAACATTCCCAAACTCCCGCCTCGCCAACATTCTTCTACTTGATCTCGGCCCTTTCAGACTTCCCAGGGGGAGCCATGAGGACTAGAAACCCGAAGGAACCCCATTCCTTTGGCAGACTTACCAATCAGGAACTCGAGGCAGACCCGGTGGTCCTCGGAATCATACGGCTGCTGGAAATGAAGCGTCATGTCGAAGGGCTGCCCGCGACGGATGATCAGGTTGTTGTATTCGAACTCGTCCGTGTGGTGGGCGCGCCGGTTGGCCCCCGTGCGGCCGCTCATTAAATCGATCTTTTTGATGACCAGCATGCCTTCTGCGCGGGGGGAAAAAGGAGAGGAGAGTCGCTCATTCCGGCCAGGATCCGTTTTGGCATCCCAATCCAGATTGTGGCTTCAAAGACCACGCAAGAAAGGTGCAGGATATCTGAAACTGTCAGAAACTTCCTGACAGTTAGAACAATTAACCAGTGGAACTACCTGCCTCCAGAAAGCGGTGAATGCTCCAACACTGGAAGTTTTTAAGAAGAGACTGGGCAGCCATTTGTCTGAGATGGTTTAGGGCAGGGGTAGGCAACCTTGACTCTTTTATGACTCGTGGACTTCAAGTCCCAGAATTCCTCAGCCAGCGTGAGGGAACTATGACCCTTTTATGACTGGTGGACTTCAACTCCCAGAATTCCTCAGCCAGCGTGAGGGAACTATGACCCTTTTATGACTGGTGGACTTCAACTCCCAGAATTCCTCAGCCAGCGTGAGGGAACTATGACTCTTTTATGACTGGTGGACTTCAACTCCCAGAATTCCTAAGCCAGCCATGCTGAGGGGAAAGGGAGAGGTTTCCAAGCTGAGCCATGCTGGCTCAGGAATTCTGGGAGTTGAAGTCCACCAGTCATGAAGGGGCCAAAGTTTCCCCCATGCTGACTCTGGAATTCTGGGAGTTGAAGTCCACGAGTCATGAAGGGGCCAAGGTTGCCTACCCCTGGTATAGGGTTTCCTGCCTGAGCAGGAGGTTGGACTAGATGACCTCCAAGGTCCCTTCCAACTTTATTATTATTATTATTATTATTGTTGTTGTTAAATATCCGGCCTAATTTGAAGGTTTTGCAAAATGCAAAACCCGGGGAAATTTCTTCCCGTTGGAGCCCCCAAACCGGAACTCAGTTCAGAGAGAAGAATGTGAAAATATGGAAGCTTTAAACCACCATGGGCAATCCTCAACTTACAATGCTTCGTTTAATGACCATTCAGAGTTACAACAATGGCATTGAAAAAAAGTGACGTAGGACCGTTTTTCCCCCCCAGGCTGACGACCGCTGCGGCATCGTCACGTGATCCAAATTCAGATGCTTGGCGACCGACTCCTATTTATGACGGTCGCAGTGTCCCAGGGGCGTCTGTCATGTGATCTCCTTCTGACCAGCAAAGTCAACGAGGGAATCCAGACTGACTTTACAACTTGTCTCACTTACTTAATAACTGGAGAGATTCATTTAACAACTGGGGCAAAACTCGCTTAATAAGTGTCTCGCTGAGGAACAGAGATTTGGGGGCCCAGCTGCGGTCGTAAGTCAAGGATTATCTACATTTCTGAACCCTCAGATGGCTGGACTTCAACTCCCAGAATTCCCCAGCCAGCAGGGAATTCTGGGAGTTGAGGTCCACCCACCTCAAAGGGGCCCAGGTTGCAAAACGCCGCTCCGAATTGTCGCCAAACTGCTGAGAAACATCTGGAAACATCTCAGAAGCCAAAGGATCGTTTTAATGGATGGCTTTGCATGTCTACCCCGCCTGTTTTCCAGGAAAATTAACAGGGGTGGGGTGTTCCTCCTGGATTTAATTGGTGGGGGAAAAGATTGCTCATTTTTCCAAACCAAACTTTAAAATCTACAATAAAGAGCAGTTGCAGGAATTGGGTATGTCTAGTCCAGTTTTTCCCAAACTTGACAATTTTAAGGCATGAGGACTTCAACTCCCAGAATTCCACAGCCAGCAACGCTGGCTGTGGAATTCTGGGAGTTGAAGTCCACATGCCTTAAAATTGTCAAGTTTGGGAAACACTGGTCTAGTCTAATGAGGAAAAAGGACAAGGGGGGACATGATAGCAGTGTTCCAATATCTCAGGGGCTGCCCCGAAGAAGAGGGAGTCAAGCTATTCTCCAAAGTGCCTCAAGGCAGGACAAGAAGCAATGGATGGAAACTAATCAAGGAGAGAAGCAACCTGGAAATTAAGGAGAAACTTCCTGACAGTGAGAACAATTAACCAGTGGAACAGGTTGCCACTAGAACTTGTAGGTGCCCCATAACTGGAGGTTTTTAAGAATAGACTGAACAGCTACCTATCTGAAATGGTCTAGGGCAGGGGTCTTCAAACTTGGCCCTTTGATGACTTGTGGACTTCGACCCCCAGAATTCCTCAGCCAGACACGCTGGCTGAGGGATTCTGGGAGTCGAAGTCCACAAGTCATCAAAGGGCCAAGTTGGAAGACCTCTGGTATAGGGTCTCCTGCTTGAACAGGGGGTTGGACTAGAAGACCTCCCAGGTCCCATCCAGCTCTGTTCTGATTGTTATTGGGTGGAAATTTGTCCCCGACTGAGCTCACCTCTCCCCCCCTCCCCCCCAAATCTCTCTCTGGAGGTTTGAGGTGGTCTCTCAGCCCCCCCAACAACTCACCCCGAATGACAGGATCCGTTCGCCGGGCTCCCGGGACTTCGCCTGGTGCGGGTGTCCAGTCGGTGTCATCCCGCTGGCCCGCACAGCACCGGCAGAATTTGTGAAACCAGGTTTGTTTCCTTCTTCTGGGAGCCGGTTCTGCCGAATTCGGCTGGCGTACCCGGTAGCTGACGTTGGCCCACCGGCCTGCATCTCCTCGTGGATCCGATACAGGCATGGCGTCTGCAGAGGAGGAAGAATGGGGGGGGGGTTAACCACACAAGCCCTGTTTCGAGGCTAGAAAGCAGAAGGACCAACTTTGTTTGTTTTGGTTAATCGTTTCCCCGTTTGCACCCGAGAGTCCTCCGGAAGAAGCTGGAGAGGCGATGAAAAAGACAGGATAGAGATTCCGGAATGGCATCGGAGCCCCCCAAAACCGGCTGGCAATGCCAGGCAAAGAGCAGCCGAGAGATCCCTGGGGTTACGATGCAACTTCTGACTATGCAGTTGTATTGCAGGAAAACTCACAACTTGCCTCCATCTTTCCGGGCAATCGAGCATTCGGTCTAAAACAGGGGTCTTCAAACTGGGCCCTTTGATGACTTGCGGACTTCAACTCCCAGAATTCCTCAGCCAGCGTGCCTGGCTGAGGAATTCTGGGAGTTGAAGTCCACAAGCAGCGGTCTTCAAACTGGGCCCTTTGATGACTTGCGGGCTTCAACTCCCAGAATTCCTCAGCCAGCATGAGGGAACTATGACCCTTTGATGACTTGTGGACTTCAACTCCCAGAATTCCTCAGACAGCGTGAGGGAACTATGAGACTTTGATGACTTGTGGACTTCAGCTCCCAAAGTTCCTCAGCCAGCGTGCCTGGCTGAGGAATTCTGGGAGTTGAAGTCCACAAGCAGGGGTCTTCAAACTGGGCCCTTTGATGACTTGCGGACTTCAACTCCTAGAATTCCTCAGCCAGCATGACTGGCTGAGGAATTCTGGGAGTTGACGTCCAAAAGTCATCAAAGGGCCCAGTTTGAAGACCCCTGGTCTAAAACCACTTGAAGATGAGTGGACTTCAACTCCCAGAATTCCCCCAGCCAGCAAAGGTTTACTGGAATTTAGCATGGATAAAGAACAAATGGGGCTAGACCACCTGTATTGCCTTTTTTTTCATAGAGTAACTTTCTTAACAGATAGTGGGGATGCAGTAGACGTAATATACCTTGACTTCAGCAAAGTTAAAAAAAATAGCTGATGAAAACTGGCTGGGGAATTCTGGGAGTTGAAATCCACAAAAGTCTTAAAGCTGCCAAGTTTGGAGACCCCGGTTGTAGGGCCAACTGGCTCCCCTTACCTTACAACAGGGGTCTTCCAACTTGGCCTTTTTAGGACTTGTGGACTTCAACTCCCAGAATTCCTCAGGCAGCGTGACTAGCTGAGGAATTCTGGGAGTTGAAGTCCACCAGTCATCAAAGGGTCATAGTTCCCTCACGCTGGCTGAGGAATTCTGGGAGTTGAAGTCCACAAGTCATCAAAGGGCCAAGTTTGAAGGCTCTGCCTTACAAGTCAGAGTCCTAGGCCTTCTTTGCCTGGACATTAAGCCCCTGTTTAACAATGGCTTAGGGATCAAGCCAGCTTCAACAGCCTGGAGCCGTACGATACTTGCATCCCTGCCAATTCAAGTGGTCTTAACTTCAGCACACACAAGCAAGCCACACATTAAGTCACAGTTTGTTTCCCCGAGGTTCACGCCATAAACCACAATGAGCCGAATTCACAAACCGTGCTAAATCACAAACCCTCGATAACAAAGATCTGCTTCCATTAATGCAATATTTTTTTAAAGTTTTACCAGCTGGGATGATCCTTGCAAAGGGCTTTTCTCCCTCTGAGCTTTAGGATTCCAGCCGGTTGACCAGGTGAGTTTTATTAGAAAAATAAGATTTTCCTTAAAGCTACAGGTGGTCCTCAAGTTACAACCGTTCATTTAGCGACCGTTTGAAGTTAGAATGAGAAAAAAGTGACTTTACGACCGGTCCTCGCTCTTACAACCGTCACATGATCAAAATTTGGACCTAGCCAAAGCAAGGTGGGATTATTTTGACTCCCCCCCCTCATACCTCTTTCAAAAAGTACAGGGTTGTTTCAACTTACAATCATTCGTACAATGACTGCTGGAAGTTACAAGGGCACTGGGGAAAAAAGTGACTTTACAACTGGTCCTCGCAGTTACGACCGTTATAGCATCACCACAGTTACATGATCAAAACTGGGGTGCTTGGCAAACGGGCATGTATTTACGACGGTTCCGTGATTCACTTAGCAACCGCCTTGCTTAGAACAGCACCTGGGTCACGTGATCTCCATTTGCGGCCTTCCCAGCCGGCTTCCGACAGGGGCAAGCCGGATTTGCTTAACGACTGCAGCGATTTGCTTAACAAACTGTGGCCCAAAAAAAAATGGTTGTAAAACTGAATGTGACTCACTTAACAACCTGACTTAACAATGGAAATGTGTAAGTCGAGGACGAGAGGCGGGTGGTGGCGAAAGGCATCCACCAGCTGGGAGAAGGCTGTTAAATGCAAAATCCAAAATTCAAAACATCCCGTTCTCCCTCAAAACACATTGCTGGCCTTCACACATCCTGCAGACGCTTCGTTGTGAAGGAAACACAATTTGCCTCGCAAGCTGAATTTCCAAGCAGCTAAGCCCAAATTCAAGAAATCACGTTCCATGTATCATGTGAAAACCTTTGCCACAGTTCGGGGACTTTGCTTCGTGTGTGTGTGTGTGTGTGTGTTTGTGTAATCACATCCAGCCTTGTGACTAACTTTGACCCCGTCTTTCTCTCCAATGCAGACGGGGCCAAGTTTCTAGTCCCTAAGATCTTTCGCAAGCTCTGTCGCCCTTCCCCTTTTTCTGTCCCCTGACTCAGCGCCAGGGAAAGGAGAGTTGAGGGGTCAGCCGGCCAAGGGGTGGGGGGATTCCCGGCCTCCCTCCTTTCTCCACCCCCCCCCCACAAGCCCACCCATCCTGTTTGCCAGATGTGGACAGATGTGGAGAAGCCAAAAGAGGCTAAAGGCTAGAAGGAAACCGAAGGCTGAGATAGGAAAGCAGACGAGAGAGAAACAAGCTGTACTTTCACAGGGGTGGAAATGGCTGATAAAATTTGGACTCTGGTGTGTGTGTGTGTGTGTGTGTGTGTGTGTGTGTGTGTGTGTGTCTGGCCAAGATGTCCAGATATCAAAGGGATTGGAAGAAAAAAAAACAGGTCAGGGGTTCAACCAACATCTGTTTGTTTCCAGGCTGTTTTAAGTCTCCTTCCCCATAATCCCAAATGTCCTGTGTTTTTCCCCCCCCCCCTTTGATTTGGGCAGTGTTTGTCAACCTGGGCAACTTTAAGATGGATGGACTTCAACTCCCAGAATTCCCTTGCCGGCTGGGGAATTCTGGGAGTTGAAGTCCACCCATTTTTACAGTTGCCCGAGTTGAGAAACACTGAGATTGGAGCTTGATCGACCAATCCTATATTTAGATTTAATCTCGGGGTAAAAGGAGAGAGTCGAGTAAAGCCTCCAGCTTCAGGGGCAGTCTACCTGAAGAACGAATCTCCAGGAGGAAGAGTGGCTTGAGTTTGACAGCAGGTCGACCCACTGTGTCTGAAATGAAACCCTACCCTTTGAACAGACCGGGTTGCATTCCCGGCTATCTTACAAAACCTAAAAAATGGCTCTTCAGACTTGGCAACTTTAAGACTTGTGGACTTCAACTCCCAGAATTCCTCAGCCAGCCCAGCACTGGCTGGCTGAGGAATTCTGGGAGTTGAAGTCCGCAAGTCTTAAAGTTGCCAGGTTTGAAGACCTCTGCCCTAAAAGAAAGGCTTGCTCAATGGCTGCTGCTTGACAAACCATACATAAACCAGGAATCGGTGTTATGTGATGGCAAACAAGGCTTGCTGTACATCATGTGAGGGGGAAAAAAAATACACATTTTTACCAGTTTTGGTGTTTGTAGAAATTCAACCTGGATGAGCAACCGGCTTTTTAATCTCTGCATTTTACATTTTTAAATTTAACTTTTTTAAATTTACATGCTGAAGGAAAGCTGGCCGGCCTAAAAACTTTTATAATGCAAGTTGCAGTCCTGTGTGAGTTTATGAATGCAAATTGTCCTTTTTTTCCCCATGGCCAAGAAAACCTGAATACATGTCTAAATGCTTGCCTAAAAGAAGAAGAAGAATAAACCAGATTTCGGTAGCCAATATATAGACCCTTCCCTTTCCAGCTACGACTTTTGAATTCTCTCTGTTACTAGAAGTCAACTCCAATTCCCTGCAAGTAGAAATCTAACCTGGAAGGAAGCCAACGTGTCCGCTAAGGCATGCTTGCAGAAATTGTGTTGTGCCTTGGGACATCACAAAAAAAATAATAAAATAAATAAACTTTCAGACAAGTTTATCTTGGCTACCAAAATACGATGGAAAGAATGGGGCTTGGGATATTGTAGTTAGCCTGCAGGAAGGGTGGAAACGGTGAAATAAAAGAAAGAAGTAAGATAAATAAAACTTGGTCGTCTATGCTTGGGTGTTCAAGTGTAACACAACAAATTAGAAAGCATGTCCAAAGTGGTGATAGATAGGCTTTCCAAGGCTTGGCCAGGGCGGGAGAAATATTAATTATTCTTCTGTCACTATCGGCATTGTTTCCAATGCAAAAACCATTCCTGTACGGGGCTGTGTTGAGGTCAAAAATATATTTAGATTGCGTTATCCTGTTTATTTTCGATCTATCATTCATTTCCTCCTCCTTTGTTCCACCCAGATTCCAGAGCCCACACTTGAAAAGCTCCTTCTAAGAAAACACATTTTGTATGAAGAGTCAGATGAAAGAATATACCTGCAGGTGAGGCCCTGGGGATCAGAAGAAGAGTCATAGGTGGAGATAGGACCCAGGTGTGGGTGTGATGGACATGAGAAGAAGAAATTGCGAGAGAAACATTTACTCTTAGACCGCTAAATGATTTTTTTCTTTCTGCTCGCTAGGGGATTTGCAGTTGTTGTTAGTTGCGAAGTCGTGTCCGACCTATCACGACCCCATGGACAATGTTCCTCCAGGCCTTCCTGTCCTCTACCATCTTCTGGAGTCCATTGAAACTCACAACTCCTGCTTCAGTGACTCCATCCAGCCATCTCATTCTCCGTTGTCCCATTCTTCTCTTGCCCTCCATCTTTCCCAGCATTAGGCTCTTC